TTTCCAGAACTGGAGGAATGAATTCTTTTTGATTTTAGACGGCGTTAGCACGCTTTGCCAAATTTTTTTGAAAGCTTTATGTTATCGCAAACTTGCAACCCTAGAATTTTGGAATACTTTTAAAAGCGAACAATTGCTTGTTTCTTTAGACGAATTTGAGACTTCGTTTTTCGATAAACTTGATAGTTGTCTGTAGGAGAAAGCACCCGGACCTATCATTGCCCCTCCTGAACCCCCTACCTCTGCGCCCGTGAGCGCTCCGGCAAATGGAAACGCTCGTCCGGCTCGTATTGTTCCTACTAAAATACTTGTAAGAAGGGAGCAAAAAGGTGAACAAGTGCAGTTGGATGCAAAGAAGCAGGATATACAATTTTTCATGAAGCGGTGAGTCACACATGGAGTGAAACCTGGAAGTATCGAATGCTTGAGCTTTCAGGTTCCCAAAAGCTGTCCATACGCAAGCGGAAAATGGTGACACAATAATCTTTAACTATAAAATAACTGATCCGGACTGGGTTCGTCAATTTTTAGACATAAACTATTTCTGGAAGAAACTTATTCAGGTTTTTGATGTGCGGACCATAAAATTTGGAATTAAACTCGAAGCTAATTATCCTATAGATATGCCTGTTATCATGGTTCCCAAAGAAAATATAGCTTTGCCAGATATTCTGAAATCGCATCTGGAAGCTGGTTGTAATGAGGCTTTGAAGGTGATTTGAGGGCAATTTGTTTCTTTCATGGGATTTGGAGGGAAGTAATATGGGTATTTTTCAGACAAATTACGCGAACTTCGAGTCGAAAAACGCCTTTGAACCGATTGGGAAGATATTCGTACGATGGCTTGACCGAAATATTTTCGATCTTTTCGTAGCAGGTCTCAAGAAGACTAAGCTTGTACAAGAGGTAAGTTGTTTGTTTTTTTCACATTGTAGCATTTTCAATAATTTTTCCTAGGCTGAGGCAGCTGGCATCCGACTGGTTGTGCCAAATCCTGAAGCTGAGCAACCTCAGAAAGAGGAGGAGGAGGAGGTGAGCGATGGAGTCTGAGGACGAATTTTTGACCAAGCCCATATAATTTTTAGGCTCCTGCTGCAAACCTCCCAGATGACCCTGATAAGACGGCGTCCGAAGTTGATGATCTTGCTAATTTACATCTTTACGACAAAGAACCTAATCAGGGTGACAACGTAGACCAGAACAGCACTACAGCTGCTCAGCAGAGCACTCCAGAAATCGAAGTAGCATTGGTATGGAGAGACTCCAGGTAAGGAAAAGTCTTCTCCTTTTTCCAGGATGCAAAGAGGAGAAATACCAAAATTGTCGGACGAAAGTCTAGGCCAATAATGGTAGAAAATGACTAATTTGTGGTAGTTTGATAAAATGCTCAGACAAATCCTAGTGTTTGAATTTTCATTGTGAACTGGAGTGGAAACTCCTTGTTTCCAAAGCGGCCTTTTTTGAATCACTCATGGTCGCAAAATCAACTCTAACCCTCGTCCAAACCATATTTTTTCAACGGTCTCAGCGTTTTTGGGTACTGTAGTGGTCGAGAGGCTTGAGTTGAAGTTTCAGCCACTATATCGCACAAACTGCTGCAACGTATATTGTTAACCATGAGCAAATATTTTCAGCCGAAACATCGCCTCTATCTCCTCAATTTCGCTCCATATCTGTAGTAAATGCATGCGATGTGGACAAGAACATGATCATTCCGTACCAGTTGATGACCATTCAGTCGGATGGCGTTGCAAACGCTGCCAACTTGCTCAGAGCCTAAGGTAGTGTGCAATATCTTGAAACTGTAGAATCTCATGATTTGCTCAATCAGACTTCGGCCACAACTCGTTCACGAAAACTCTTCGATTACTGCACTGCTGGAAGCTAGAGGATGTCGACCTCTCGATTGCATCCTACAGCAGTCCCAGCTCCGATTTACTTGTTTGGCTTGTAACAAAGAAGATGATGTGCAGGTAAAGACCACATTTTGCTCGGAGGCAGTGTCCAGGAATCTGGGCACTTGAGTTTTTTTGTGGAGGCTGACTGCTAATGTCTTCTGAGTCGTTGCCCGAACGACAGCTTATATGAATTAATTAAGAAGTGCAAATCTGAAGTCTCGCCCAGACCGTACTCGCGGACCAGTAGCGTCTTTGAGTACGGTACTGGGCGAGAGTTCAGAATCAAAATTTTCGGAAGCGAATTTTTTTTATGAGCTGCCGGTTGAGCAATGGCTTGTTTAATGCCTTGCAAACAATCTCCAAATAAGTTACTGACTCGGATAGAAGAAATATTTGGACCGATACTAGATATTTAGAAGCTCAATTTTGGCTCAACGCACAAATCTTGGTGTCGTGAATGTCATACACTCTGTGAATTCACCATCAATGCAGTGCGATTCCGAGGAGATTTGGCGAAGATTGCTGCTGAAGACCAAGTGACAGCAAGCAAGATACCAAAAGCGAAAAAAGAAGTTTGCCACGTACACCACCGATTGATTTTCAGAGGGTACATTACAGGTGAAAGTTGTTAGCGCAATCGTCGAGGGACAACCATTGCCAGAAATAGGCACATGTAAGCATTACAGGAAGAGCTATAGGTGGTTCA